GTACACCGGTAAACGTAGACCTAGAAAGTGATGGATTGCGTGAAAGGTGAACACGACAAGTAGGGAGTGATGACTGAGATTGCGAATTGTAGAGTTATGTGGCAGTAGAATAAGGGGAAAGATGATTATGGTGAACTGTCCACAGCAATTTCATTACCTCAAATAAAGGTCAATGTTTTCGTTAATCTCGCTATCGGAAAAGTAGAAATAAGTTATTACTTCTAAAAAAGTAATTAGGGTTTTTATCCCAAAATATTTACTCCTAAGTTTATAGGCGTGTAAATATATAGCCTAAGGCGTGACGTAAGTGTAGGGCTTTTTATTAAAAAAAAGAGTTATTCGAAAATATGCTATGATTGCTGACATCTTAGGCAACAAAGAAGTGTGTGTTTACGCTTTATTATATTAGTAAAGATATAATGAAATTAATCGTGCTAGTGTTGTTTGAATCTATAAACGTTTAGTTGATAGTGACGGGTAAACTCTATTTAAATTAATCGTCCGGAAGGCAATAATAACCGCGGGCCATTGCAAAAGCAACGCACTCGACCATTAAACGGCTATTAGCTCGCTTACATAATACTCGTGTTATAATCACGAAACTATTACAACGTTTGAATTTGTCTATAATAGCCGTATTAGGGTATTTTGCAATTACGACTTACCAAACACAATAGCTTTGTTATTCTTTTTATTATAATACATAATAGTCGGAAGTCGAAATTAAATGCTTATAAAATTTTACACATATAAAAATATGCCAACATGCAATGGATAAACACGGTAATTTTAAGTCACTTTGTAATAAATGTTTTGCAATGGATTTCTAAGTCACACAGTAACGAAAAACAGGTTAATTATAATTTTAGAAATATTACGATAGTGAGTAAAAACAATTACTTACAGTACATATTAATAATCCTCGTTTAGCTGCTCTGAATTGTTTGAAGACCTCCATCCGTCGCTCGTGCGGCATGGAGCCGTGTAAACTGAACACGTCCAAATCAATCGGCACCAAACCGCCTTCTTCTGGCGCCTCATATTCCATTTCAAATTCAGAATCAGAATTTCCCGATGATTCCGAGGAATCCTTTCATAAAAAAAAGAACAAACACCAAAGATGACACAAAACAGTCTCGTAAATGCTATAGAACCATCAATTTGCTTAAAATAATGATTTCTTACCTCATCACCTTTTCCTTTCGTTTTTTGCTTATTTGCTTTTGTCTTCTTATCTTCTTTCTTTTTGACTTTCGCCTCTTTTCCCGTCAACACAGTTTCTAACAATTCAGAATGATAATCGACCATTTCTGTGGTTGCCATAAACACTATCATTTTACCACATTTCTTGTCCAAATAACAATGTTCAACAATAAGAGAACAAAGTGTTACAAGTCGTAATTTCATTGGAACGATCAAAAACTTTTGATTCACTGTAGCTGGTAGAACTAATTCATCATCAACAACTGCTGATTTTACTGCTTCTTCAAATACATTCTCCTTTTTAACAGGTCTTTCATCTTTGTTATTCTCCTTTTCTTTCACTTCTTCCACTATCTTCGGTTTATTTGCTTCCAATTCTTTCTGTACTTTAAAATATTCATAATCTGAATCACTATCACTGTCAAGTTTTCTTTTACTGGCAACTTTATTTGAAACATCTTTCTTGTCTTTAACATCTTTCTGTTGATCTTCTATATTTATCCCTGAGAAAGCTATTAAACCTGAAATTGGTACATACATTAAAGAAACATGTATAAATTAAATCGTTTATTACAATACCACTTTATTTACCTCTTCTTGTTTCAATATTAGTAGGTGAAACATTATTAGTTACAATTTTCTCTACTTCTTGTGATGCCATAACTTTAGGTTTTTCTGGAGATGCTGTCTCTGGTTTGTTTTTATTTTTTTTATTGCTGGCTTTTTCATCTATTTTATTTACATCTCCGATTGGTTTCAATGAATCTGCTACAAGTATTTTTCCTTCTGAAGTATCAACAAAAACTGGATCCTGCATAGTTATTCCGGCTAAATTTTCTACTGCCTAAAAATAACAAGACTGTTACAAGAAAGCACCACCCTTAAACTGTAGAGGAATCAACCCCAATTAATACCTTTGTGAGTGTTGCTGATAGTAAAATTGTTTGTCTATTCTTTGAAAGAAAAACTTCTGTTAAATGATGTTTCACTTGATTTTCTTCTGTGTGTTCTGTTGATGCATTCTCAGTCTCATCTTTTGAAATGTTTTTGTTAACAGATTGTCTCATAAGTGCTATTGGGTCATATGTTGCTGCCTTTTTATGATCCTCTATAGATTTTACAATTGCTGCTACATCTTTTTCATATCCCATATCTAAAAGACGATCTGCTTCATCCAGGACTAGACAACTGAAATTACCTTAAAATATTTCAACTGTTCTAACATACCTGAAGAAAATTATGAACTCCTAGAAATTGCAATACTAATAGATATACATATTGTGTTGTAAAATAATATAAACAATAAGATGTCTACTCACCCAGTTTTAGCAAAGTTTAAGGAATGTGTGTGTCTCAAATGATCATTTATTCTGCCCGGCGTGCCTACTAATATGCTAAGTCCCTTCCTTAATCTGGCTTTCTCAGCTTTCCTCTTTTGTCCACCGCTAAGAAGACCAGGTACAATCCAGATAAAAGGCTATACAAAGAGCATTTTATAGGTTTTATTATCATATAACGCACAGTAACATATTTGAAACTTTTTTTGATATAATTAACATTATAAAAACTACCTTAACTAATTTCACAAATAGTTCATATGTCTGAACCGCTAACTCTCTTGTTGGTACTACAACAATAACTCTGATGCCATCATGTCTGTTTATTTTTGGCCTAATCGCCTGAAGTCCCTCTATGATTGGTAAAGCATATGCCAATGTTTTTCCTGAGCCAGTTTGAGACCTACAAGCACAATAAAGTATCACTTAAGAAAATTCAAAATTTTTTCAAATGAAGTACTTATTAACAAACTTACATTAGAAAACATATTTCCTTGAATGTTATAAAAAACAAATTTTATATCAAGAGCACCTGAAACTGCTGTGTCAGGACCGCACTAAATGGAAATCCATAGTCTGTCTACCCTTCTAAGTTACTGATGTGTGTTGCAGTTGTTTGTTAAGTAATATGGAAATAATATTATGGAAATATTAAAAGATATGTCGACTCACCTAATTAAAACATCTCTACCCTGTAGTATAACTGGTATAGAGTTTTGTTGCACTGTCATAAGTTGCTTTAAGTTCAAATTCTGATTTAAGTTGGCAATGCTGTGAGGGTGAAGATCCAATTCTGAGAATGTCTGAACAGTAAATACTTTCTCTACAATTGGTTTTACAGCTTTCTGACCTATTCTAGGTACATCAGGATTATTTTTAAATAAGGATGAAATCCATCCTCCGCTTCGAGGTTTTTGCTTTACTTGTAAGTCGTCAACAATTTCTTGATAGTTTTTATCTTTAAACTTTCCTTTGTTTTCACTAAGATCTCTTAGTTTTGTCTCTAAGTCATTAGACTTTGTAACAGGTGCTTCGTTTAATCTAGGCACCTTTTGTTTTGGCTCATCTGGCCTTGCCATAGAAAACTTACTATGAGCATTTTGTGGTCTTTTTCTAGCAATAATTTTACCACCGACCACTGGTTTTGATATGAATTTGTATTCCGAAGCTTTGTTTAGTTGCACAGTAACTTTTTTACTCTTATTGGTCTAAAAAAATGAATCGTCTTAATTTGTGCAACCCTTTATTGTATATTGTGCAATATGAAACACATATAGACTTACCTTTTTAACAGAAGAAATATTCAATTGTAAATCGTCCATTCTCACTTGTTTATTGTTTTCTAGTTCAAATAAATAAATTTTTACTCAATGTTTATTCATTTGTGAGGTTATACGCATGCCTTGACGTTGTGTTGACAATTTGACAATGACAATGACATTTCAATATTTCTTGCCACAACACAAAACGCGAAGACAAGAAAAGAAAATATTTAATGTGAATATTTTTTATTTTAATTTCTCCATTTGTTGAGTAATGTATAAGAAAAAGAAATATCGCTATTGTAAAAATGAAACCTCACAAATGAACCATTTATATTTTTCTTTTTTGATCTTTCCTTTATCGAGAACAATAGATGTTTTTAAAGTATTGCGGATTCCAAAACGGTAGGCGTTCTTAAATCTATTTTTAATATAATTCTTTTAATTCCAGTAACCTCAGAATTCATTTGATTAAAAAAAACTATTATCAGAAATAATATTCAAGCACAAATATGTTTGTACATTAAAGTATTGAATTGAACTTTACAAAATAAAAATACAGATAAGGGCTCAAGCATGAATCTCAGAGGCATAAGTGAAGATCACGGAGTTGGTGTGATCCGGGGATTCACACCCCTCTATTATTTTTTCTTATATTCACACTATATGAAGACATGCTTGTTGTTTGTTGGCATTCATTTAGAAAGTCCCTGATATGATCGATGTACGTTGCATGGAGTTATCAAGTAACGGCTGATTGTTGTCATGTTCGACTATATGTGTCACATTCTCTTCCTGGCCAACCAACTTTCCGATGGTCTACTAGCAAAACACAATGATAACCACTTTTTATTGACATATCTTCTAAATCTTAAAATGCTTAAATAAAAATCTCTCATGGCTGCGAACGCTTTTCGCCAATAAAATATCAGTGAGCTAAGACACGCGCTGCGGATACTAATTCCAGAGGGCACACGTGCCGGCGCGTGCCGCCACTGTAGCTACTCTGTGACGCCTATGGGGTGGAAAAAATATTTGTGATTTTAATAGCGATGTTTACATAAGCTTGCCTAGAATAAGATTAATTCCGTTGTAGTAATTGCTCCTATGAAAGTGCATTCAATGATGGTAAAAAAATACGATTATGACCCCTGTTAAGTGAACAGCGTTGCTATAGCAACGATTAAGTCGTTATATTTAGCCTAATATTGCATGCATTGTTTTGTTTTCATGTAGGTTTGGCAAGATAAATCTACGCTAAGGAACTGTGTAAGACGCAACAAAAAATCTGAGTGTGTTTCAAAGAATGTCATTACTGGTAGTGTACATTGATCCTTTTACATTTGGAGTGAGTTGATTTTTATTTTAATTCTTATCTTACTAATATTATAAATGCAAATAAAAGATTAGATGAATGGGTTTTGAGTTTGTGGCATAAACTGCTGAACGGTACTCAATTAAATTTGGCATACCTAGATGTAAAGCATAGTCTGGAAGAACACATAGGCTACTTTTTTTTAATCCACGCATTCGAAGTCGCGGTCGAAAACTAGTGCTAAATGAAATAAACAAGATTTTAAATCTGACGTCTACTAAATCTAAACTGTAAATAAAACAACGCCCTTATCCTTCAAAATAAGGAAGCCACATAATCCGGTCACTTGAAATTCAGCGAGCAACCGTTGGGCAAAGAGAGCAGGGACTGGGGATGAGGTGCTCGGGGGAGGGGTACGGCGTCAGGGGAGGCGTGAGGGCGCGACGTGATTACCGGCGTCCAACCAAGACGACCCGGCTCACCCGGATCACCCGACTCACCCGAGTACCCCGGATCTACGTCCGCATATAATGTAACGCGGGCACGTATAACATCAACTTTATTTTTTCTTGTAACCTCCGCTGGTGTAGTTCTTACTAATTACATCCGTATTTGAATAATTTTATTTACTACTTTTTATTTCAATAAACATTATTAAAATGAAAAATTACAGGCATTATGACTAATTAAACTTATTTACATAATCCTTGATTATATTTAAAAAATATAACTGTCACATAAAAAAATGTAAAAAAATAGTCGCCATGTCAAAACATCGTAAAACACAAAAAAGTGGAGACCAGTCGTCTGTGACCTAATAGATTTTGGTGATGGCGTTAAAACCTACAACATGTAAAGAAGCTATTGCACGATGGGAGAAAGAGAAAGAAGAAGTAGCTACCGAGGCAAAAATTATAGAGTTACAGTTCCAGTGGCCACCGATAGAGAAAATGGACGGAGCGCTCTCGACGCTTGTAAATTGCGAGTAAGTTATCAAAATTGAATTTCGGATGCTTATTGGTTAGTACTTTACGCGACAAGAGCTGCAGCAACTTCAAATAAATTGTTTTTTTTTATTACCTGATAGATTGATTGGGATTTGTGTCTTAAACGAAAATGTTGACGACAGTGAAATGAAAGAGTCTAATTAGGAAACTCTATCCCATTTAGTGGTGACACTAAATGATTACGAGTTGGAAAGAGAGAAGGAAGTTGATTAAGTAATTATAATAATATGCTAAAGCTCCCAGATAAGCTAGTACAAGCAAGAAATGAAAATGTTGCGAAATAAAAATGTAGCTAGTAAAGTATCTCTTCATTTTCAGAAAACTAAGTTTGTCGTCCAATATGATTGACAAAATAGCCGGAATCGCAGGAATGCGTAATCTTAAGATCCTATCCCTCGGGAGGAACTACATAAAATCTCTGGCGGGGATCGTAAGTAGATAACAATTGAAACCCCTTTGTTGTACTTCCTTTTAACGTTAAAATATTTTCTGTACAGGAAACCGTTGCTGAAACATTAGAGGAGCTTTGGATAAGTTATAACCCAATAGACAAATTACGAGGAATCGGAGTAATGAAAAATCTACGCGTTTTGTACATTTCTAACAATTTAATTAAAGAATGGGTGGAATTCAATAGATTACAGGTTAGTGAAACTCGTAGTTGGGAACAAGAACTTTGTTTACTCACTTTATATTATATGGTGGTAAACATGGGATCAGCCACCTGAATTCGTCGATTAGGCAGAGCGACCGCTGCCTGTAGACATCACCAATTGCATATGCGTTGCCTACCCTAAATTCACGGAGAAAGAAACACACTTAAAGATAATATTTCCCCTTTCTGGCGTCTCTTCTACCATCAATTCCACTTTTACTTCTCATCCCTTGGTTATACTAAAAGAGTAGAAAGCGAAAGGCATTAAAATTAGACCACAAGCTTATTTATTCCTTTCCTTTTCTACCATAAACACTGTATGACTTTGACTAACTCTTGTATAGAGAGTATCAAATTCTGACACATTCTTATTAATTACAATATATTTGCAGGAATGTCCATCGTTAAGAGACTTAGTATTTATTGGAAATCCACTCTGTGATAATCAGCCTGACGTGGAGACTTGGCGCACTCAAGCCTCTAACCGTCTGCAACAGATAACGAAGCTAGACGGAATACCTATAGTCAGAGAAACAGATTGAATACATAAAAGGTAGCAGCCTAAATAAATAATATCGAACATGAACTTTCTTCTTAGTATTCTGAATTTCTACCGATTATAATTATAAGACGATTGTACATACAGTAAACAATACGTTATGTATTGGCGTCCCAAGGGGAGAAAGGGTGGAATCTTCCTGACATTTAAAAAATACAGCTAGAAATGTTATTGAATTCGCCTGATAAAAATCTTTAAGTAAATCAAACAATTTTCTGTGACATTTGGATGAAATTATAGTTATTACGGATATACTCGGCTTGTAATAAGTCAATTATATTGCGGTGGAAACATCAACGGTCATCGGCCTTGTGAAAGAATTATTTTGAATTAAGGGAGTCGTGATTGCGTGATATTTTCTATAACAATGGCCGATAGAGAAGCACTTGTTTGGGATTCGGTACCGGTGATAATGCACGATATAATAACCGGCCATCGGATCGACTTGTTCGGTTGACATTTATGACAGATTAACTCTGGCAACACATAATAACTCATGGCACGCCATCTATCTATTACTCGTAAATGACGAAGTTATTTTCGACATTGTTAAGAGTGAATTCAATTAATCGAGTGTAATTGAGGTAAAGTAATAATTTATTTTATCGATGAACCACTTAAAATTGATTTCCTTATTAAAGAATGACTTTAATTGAATTGCTTTAGTATCTTTGCAATGGTATTTTTTATGTTATCTTTTTGTCGCATACATCAAAATGAATGTAGAAAACATTCTTCTTCAACATTTTCTTTTGTAAAAGATATTTTATGAATATATAAGTAATTATTAGTCATAAAACATCACAAATCCTCGGCAAAGTTTTCATATGATTGTGTTGACCATTGTCTGGACAGTTTTATGATCCATCATACGTCTCAAAGCTGAATTAATAGTGTGCTTAATTCGTGCCAAAAGGAAATAAGAATTGTTTGGGGGTACCCTTGTAGGCGGAAAAGTCCCTCTCTTTGTGATGGCACTCGCTATTGTATCGTCGCTCATAAAATTTAATGATGTAAACGGATAGCGCGAATTTATCTAATTCTGAAGTGCTCGGGAAGACGAAAGCTGAGGGGAAAACGATCAGTAATGTTATCCGTTGCAGATTTAATTAAGTATTTTAAAGTTTGAAATGGAAACAATTACAATGGTTTGTTCTAGAAATTTAAAATTATTCCGCATAATTGTTTTCGAAATTAAGAAATCAATGACCTTGTTGTACATCAATAAATGTAGACTTATCGTTAGAAGAGTGGATTTTTGAGCCCATCTGCTAATCATCCCAGTGATATTGAATTCTTAAAAACTTACCTTTGCATTAGTAAGCATTCAAGCCCTTGAATTATGTAGGTTTTAATGTAATATAATTGAAAATTTTGATGGCAATGAAATGTTCATTATTTTAATGGAATGCCTTTTATTGTGTAGGTACTTTCCGTAATGGACTGATAATTGTCCATCCAAACAGAAGTAACTCTGTTAATCACAATGTCGCTCGCACCTACACCCCCACGCGTATTTACAAAGTGTGGAAGCCATGCCGACCGTTATTTAATTATTAACAATACAATCGACCTAATTTTGATTTCCATTTGACATTCCGATCACATGGCACGTAGCCGGCGGCGCGCGGCCATTTTGTGACATCTGTCCTCGAATGTGTTACCAGCTATAAAATTCAATTTCCCCAATCGGCTAGCTCGACACATTTATTATTCATAGATGTGCACATACACGCCCGACAACTCACAGATGTCATCTTTTACGTGAAAGGGTATCGCAGAGAATGTGAAGGATATCCATTTGTCTTACTGAATAATGTTGTATTCATTCTATTTGATTACGTAATGTTAAGGAAACGATGTAATTACGTTTTATTTTTAGGTAATATAAGTGCATAGACTTTTTATACAAGAATCCTTTCAAAACTGATTGGAATTGATAGAATAATATTCTGTGTTCAATAACTGTATGATATTTTAATTTTATTCGAGCTCTATTGTTTTTAATGAGCGATGATGTCTTTAATCTTTTTCAAACATTTTCCCTTCTCCATTTGTACTGCAAACATTGTAAATTGTAACATTGTAATAGCTATATTACTGTTGGTCAATGTAGGGGTATAAATATATGATCGGTTTCAATCGCTACCTTGAGCGAGCCAATAAATCAATCCATGTCGTCGGTAATGCACAATCCATTTGCTCGCTTGTAGCCTAATTGCTGTTAGCGCCGCCCAATGGCCACATTAGCCTGAAATGCTCCCCATACGCCGGATCCCTCCCTGTCCCTCCCCTACCTCTCCCCATGGCCCACGGCCCACTATCCGTACACACAGTGAGACGGGCCGTATTAGCCTTCTGGGTTGTAATAGCTGATTTTCTAGCTCACGAGGTTGGCAGCAAACGACCGCGCTTACGCCACTTAAAGGCGGAGAAAATGGCTTAAGTGCTTTCTCTATTATGCTTAAGGTCGTTCATAAAGGGGATAATTTTCAACTCTATAGTGCCCCCGCCCCGGTTTGATGAAAGTAAGATATGGATATGCCTTGTAATTTAATTAGTAAAAGGAAAATGAAATTAGATTAAACTTTTCTAGAATGCGTTTATCCTGTTACGATTGTTTTAGTAATTTGGTAATATTATTCAATTAACATTTCATTTGATATCGAAATGTGAGCTAAGTTTATTTTAAAATCCACGATTACGAATTATCGCCTTAATATCTAAGTCTGAAATGCTAAAGTTATTACGTGTTATTTATTTTATTTTAATTTTTTACTTTGTCATGTCTATACTAAGCATGTTCACACTTTACTAACGTCAAGTGAGATAATATATTTTTAAGTTGGGTAACCTATTGTCGCGAGGAGCGGCGAGGGTCGCGAAATAAAGCTTTTCCAACAAACAATAGTTCCGGCCCTTTGTCGCTTTCTGAGTAAAGTAAATATTAGTAGTTGAGGGCATTGTGAGGTCGGGAGCAGTCCGCCCCGGTTGGGTCTGAAGAACCTTAAACCTTATCTCCACTTACCCTTATAACCTTTTGTTTTGCTTTTATTTTTATTTAAATTTAATTAACAAAACAATATTATGACCGAAATAACGACTACCGGAAAATTAAATGTCTACAGAAATTTCGGGATATTAATCTACTTGTCTATGTTGACGATAACTAAAATGAGCGGTCAAATCTTACATATTTTAAATTGTAACTCATTTTTTTTAATCTCGAATTATCAAAATAATCCACGATTTCCCTAAGAACTTAATGATGTTTGCCACGAATCGTATAAGCTTGCTAAAAACACGGAAGTCACGATTGCCCCATAAATTACTATTCCGACATTAACACCTATTTTCCATAATAGCCGATAAACCAAATTTAGTTTTCATGTTACACACCCTTCGCTACTACTTATATAATAAGCAATGATCAATGGAGAATAATCCTATTGTGTGGCCGCAGACAAAAAAGGCCGTGTCTGAGTTGTTCCGTAATGCTCCCGCGTTAATATCTCCATTACATTAGCGAAATACTCATTGTTATCGCCTCCGCATCTCGATGTATGCAGCTAAAGGATTAGCTACCGCGCTACACCATGGTGACAGTTGTCTATGGCACAAAGGAAGCGGTGCATTTCGAGGCATAGATAATGACGTGTGTTTATTTAATTTAACTCTCTGGCAACACAATAACGTCGTGTTTTCGCTAGCGGCGTTCCGACTTGAGCGGAGCGCCTCGGGGCAATAAAATTAATGAAGCGTGGAGATGGGACCATTTTACTTGTATTATTCCTCTCCTGCGGCCTGAGACTGAAGCGAATGTCCATTAGTTCTGTTTTAACATGTTAGCGAGGTTGAAACGTTGTAAATGCGATTTACTTTACAGGGAGGGTAGAAAAGTAGCCGGAGAGATCGGGACCCGATCGATAGCCGATGCTATCGGATAAAACTTTAAACGACCTGCATTTATACATTATTTATTCAGTGTGTTTTTCCCTTTAAAAAAGCGGCAACGCAGCTTGACGTAACCAACTGTTAGTATTGATAGCTAGAATGATACAATAGTTAAAAATGGCTTCTTTGTCCTCAACATTATTTTTTTAAATCATGTGACCATTTGTACCGTATGCTTATCGGTTCCGAAGTATTGGCGTAATAAATATTTGCGAGTAGTTTGATCATGTGGCCGTGAACCGAGAACAATGGGCGCATTACAAGGCATTAACAGCTAACTGATGATCAAACGATCGCTGCGCGCGCAGCCCGTGTCATGTTCTTACAGATAACATCTTAATCCGCACGGCGCAGTGCAACTCACCCCTAAATACTGTGCTTGATGTATACTCCGTTTTATTTTACGCTCTGTGCCCGATGACTATCTATCCTGGTAAAATCATAAGCTACACATATCCCTTTTCTTTATTACAAACAATTTAAAATTTTGGATGTTGACTAAATTTTTCATTACCTCTACCCCATTTTGTGTATTTATATTATCAGGCCGATATAAATCTGTTGCTTTCCGCGTCTTCTCTAATATTTAACTTATTAGTTATTTGTATTGTTTTGGTTTTATATTGTGTTATCTGTGGTTAAAACCGAAAAGGTTAGTTTTTAAAAAATGACACTGGCCACCTATAAGTAACCAACGCCTATTTTTTTTTGCGCCACGTTAAAAAGCGATTGTTTAACATCAAATTTGTTATTCAAAGTCAACATAACATCAAAAAGTTAACCATGAGTGTACCTTGCAGGCGCTAAACCGTCGTGTGGTGATTACGCGAACATTTGCCAGTTATTAGCATATCAAAATGTTATCAGATGTAACGGCCGGCGCGCCCAGAGGCCACATTACCGCTGCACTTCGAGACAATAACACGATTAGTGAAATGAATTCAGTAACCAGACCCCACATGTAGGGAACGTGATAATCCAAAGATTCTTATCACAGACCTCGTCGACCATCGACAATGATACGTTTAATTTTTTTTTAATAAACTCGCATTGTAAAGGCGTGCTGTTCGTAAAAAATTGTGCGAAAAATAACTTTATATCAATGATGATACCTAAAAAATTAAGTTAATGATAAAGACGTAATAATAAAAAGTGTTTCTATTTATTTTACTGTTGAAATAAAGTTTTTACATATTAAACATTTACATAACAATGTACACATTTATGTTTATACGAAAAGCGTAGGATAAAAAAGAAAATCAGTGGAAGCGATGCCGTACATAGTTTTGCCGCAGTTTTATGTCCTCTCACGTGCCATTTAGCTCGGGAAATAGAAGTTTTTGTATGGTAATCGGATGCACTAAAGGCCCGAGCCCCCGGCCCGCTCTCCGCCTATTGTTGCTACGAAACTGCCTCATAAAACTTTATCATTCGCCTGTTAAGCCAATTCGTCAGTACAGAGATGGAAATTTTTGTTATGGATTGCGACAAAATTATCCGTTTTTCTTTAATTGATTTACCTAGTTTTATCAAGTAAACTGCGGGAAAAGGAAATGTAGGAATAGGGTAAAGCTTCTGAGCAAAGGACAAACATAATTTTATGCTTCCGTATCTAAGATATTTAATATTTTCTTTAGGTTTACTAAAAATGTCTCAATAACACTGCATTGCAAAATATTATTGTGAAAACAAATAAGTAAAGTTTGACGAGTTTTCGAATTACAAATACTCTTTAAAGTTTATCGAACCCGAATAGATGTTTATTATGTTCGGATATAAATTACTAACGAGTAATATCCATTTCTCTTGAATGCGATAATCCTATTAGAGGCAATGGCGTCATAAAAAGTTATAGAGAGCAATGTATCCCGCACGGCACGCCGCGCACCGCACACGTCAAACTAGAGTCGAGCCTAGCGACTTATGCCATCTCCTGAGGAAGTGATTTGTCAGGACCACCCCCTCTCGATTGAATAATTCAAATAATCGTGGTATTTATATGTAAATAGCGGGCCACATCTCCATACGAAAGGGCCGATCGGTTCATAAATTTGGCAAG